TTTTCAGTGCAACCTATGTACTGATATTTATAATATATACAATAGTTACCAATTCAAAAAAAACAACCGATTTGGTGTGGTGGGATTGTTTCCTATTTTTCTTTTCAATTATGCCCTAACTTATTACTTCACAATTCTATTTTACCCTTTACCTTTTTTTCTGTTTTAACTCCAAATCTCCAATCTATAACCTACTTTGTTTTTTTCAAGAACTTCTGCCACCAACATTAAAGATGTTTTGCCATCTTCTGTTTTATTTTTTCTCCTAATTTGCTTTTAACTCAATCCTAATTAGTTGTGCTCCTTCGTTTTGCCTTCTTCTGTCATGCTCCGTTGTTCTGCTTTCTTAAGGTATTTTGCCTTCTTTTATTTTGTTTTTTAAAATTATTTTTATGCATAATTTTTAATAAATTTAATATTTAAACAATTGAGGGTATTTTAGTCAACTTATCAGTTACAGTACAGTACGATACAGACAAACCAAACAGCAAAATATTATTTAATAATAGCAAACAATACAATCTATCCAAACATTGCATTTATAAAACGATACGACACAATACGATACAATACATTATAAAATGACAGGGAACAATGATCCAAACAGAGTGTAAGTCGTGGCGACACATTCTTATCACATAAAACACCGGAAGCGAGCCTCCACTTTATCCATTCCGCTCCGATGCGATGTGCGATATCTTCATCAATCTCCCCATCACCCTGGATAATAGACCCGAGATACTTAAAACTCGCTCTCTTAGGGATAACTTGAACATCAAGCTTAACCTCTACGTCTGCATCATGTACACAAATTAATTTTTGGGTGAAGGGTATTCAGCTGACCACCCTTGAGCCTATGTGGCACCAATGAGCTAAGCTAATTCACAGATCAAAAAGAGCAACAAGAAGAGACAAAATCTGTAGACAAAAAGTGTGCATCTTCTGGAAGTATAATTTTTAGGGGTATTGCCTAGAAGGAAATTGTTGTACTGTTGTGTTTTATTGAAAAATCTTTGAAAACTATGCGTATTGTGCAATCTTAGGTTTCCTATGATCCAATTTTTGGGTGCCAACATGGAAAAGTTTGCTTGCCAAAAAGGGAAAATGCTCATTAAGTTCTAAATTGAAGTAAAAGATAATATCAGCAAATGTGAATAATTAGAGTCGGAAAATAAGTTATGCATAAGACAAAAGTACATTACTGGCTAAAGTTAAAACAAACCTAAGAGAATTCATCTTTTGCAGAGAACTACTGGATTTAATGCAGTCTGCAACTTTGGAGCCAGAAGTAGCATTTCTGAATGCATCACTTGTAAGTACATTCTTCACTCTCTCGTTCAGAGGTCACTAGTTTTTGCTTTGTGCATTTCAAGCTGATTTCATTTTTGGGCATATTTCAACAGATTCCAGATGTATTTCCTGTTTTGGCAGCTGCACACAAGGCACTTGTAGCTAAATCACGGGATTCACTGACTACACGGACCCTTCATTCTGAGCTCGTTTACAACTATTCAGGATCTAAACATGTAAGTAGATATAAGGCTAATCTAATGATTGAATGGATTTTATCCTTTTGTGGTTCATTGACTTTAGCTCTGCTTGATCGTAGTAGATATCAGAGTCTTTGAAAAGATGTGGCATTGCAGATAACACAAGCTACATTCTTGCAGCACGCTTTGGTGCTTCGGCTGATGAGGTGAGGCAACATTGTTTATGTCACTCGAGTTGATTTTTTGACTTCTTTTTCTTGGTGATAATGATGTGTTCTTACTTTGCAACTAGATGGTGGCCATAGAAAAACTCATAAACGGCAAGGAGATTGACTTGAAGGAATTGGAACAAAGAATAAACCAAGCTCAGATTCAAAAGGTGGGTGGATAGTTATCTTTCAAAGTGGTTTGGGGAGTATGGTCATGCTTCCTTCTTTAATTATGAATTAATAATTTGTAATTTGATAGCATTACAAGATATCTAATCTGGAGCTGGAGATTTCATCACTTGCTGATGCCATAACCTGCAGAATTGCTGCCCGAGATGCTTTATGAGAATTGCACGCCTTACGCCACTATTTATTTCATTTTTTTCATATGTAAACTATTGTCTGAGAAATAACTTCCTGAACCTTGTGTGAAAATACCATTTTGCTACTCTAATTGCTTCATAGGCGCTATTAGGTCCCTGATAAACATTCTCTAATGTTGTATTTCGTTTGGTTTGATTATGTTCAATGTCTAAGAGATTCTGTAGGAACTAGTGATGGCTAATGGTTTAATTACATATAATTTTAGTGTCACAAAACTATTTTTGTCAATTAAATTAATTGAATGTTACTCATTTTAAAAGTCAAGTCAACGTATCTTTTTTTTTTTTTGGAGAATAAAGTCACGAAAGCTTATCTACTATAAAAGTATAGTAATAAAATTATTTTTTTTTGTCACGTTAAAGTAACTAAAATTTATCTACTACAAAAGTAAAGTTACAAAATTTTACCTACTATGACAACAAAAACATCCTATCAAGATGATTTTACTCTTAAATGGTTAAATTTTCTTGACTTTAAGTTTCGTGGCTTTACTATTGTAATAGCAAAAATTAAGTTGCATTAATATGACGGAATAGTTTTGAACTTTATGTTACAGTGAGTAAAGTTCAATTACTTTAATGTAACAAAAATAGTTTTGAACTGTATGGTTATAGTCAGGAAAGTGCAGTGTCTATACTTTAAATTAACTTGATGCCTATTCTGGCATTTCAAAAGAAAAATTCGAAGAATTAACTGATATCACCTCCTGACCAAGACAAAGGCCTCCATAGTCCTGACAACTTAGCTGCCAGATTCAGTTCTAAAACTTATTCCAGAATTTATTACTTAATTTGACACTTCAGTTAATCTTGCATCACGACTCGACCTAAGAGCACTGGGAAGTAAGAGTGTGCAAAGACCCTTTGGGATTGTACTGTTCATACACAGTGGAGGGCTTGAATTGATATGCCAACGGAAAATCATAGGGATTGAATTTATATGTCTACAGAAAATCACGTCACTTGGATTGATATGCACACACTTCTTCATCCAAACATTTTCTGATACAATATCTTGCACGTCATAAGAATTCCACTCGTACTTATAGTATGCGGTTTAAAAAGCGCACACACAAACAAAGAAGCAATCAAACAATACAAAAATCGGAAAGAAAGAAAGAAATGAAGTCGGACCTCCCTACATACACAATAGAAAGTTTTTCTTGCACGCATTGATCAAATCACCAGTCAACTAGTTCCCAGCCCCCGCTTCTTGCCAGACATGCTGATGGAAGTAACTTTCATTGGAGTTGCTACAACCAAAGGAGCTTCTGGTGAGTCACTGACGGCATATTTGTCATGCATGAAACGACTCTCA